AAAATATTTTAATAATGATAATAATAATAATGAAAAAAAATATTAAACAAATGAAAAATGCAAGTAAGTTTACGTCAACAGAGATAAAATAGAGTGGGATAGTTAAGTTGATTAGTAAAAGACACAGGTGGGAGGTGAATGAAATTTTAAACGTCAAACATTTAAGTTCCAGTTTAAAATGACAGTTTCACGCGGGCTTTTGCGTTGACCACTACTCGGGAGCGTGTTTTCTTTAAATTAAATTTAAAATAAAAATTTTTTTTTTATTTTAATTTTAATCTTAATCTTATTGTTTCTTCTACGAAAATTACCGTACTTTTGTGCGTAACACTATTCCGATAAATTGACAATATTCTTGTCAAAATAAACAAGTAAATTATTGTGAATGTCAATTGCAATAAAGAGTTTTAAAATAACTGCCAAGAGAATGAGCAATGTTTTAAAAATAATCAATAACGATTTTAAATCGTAATGATGAAAAAAAAAATTTTATATTGAAAGTGTTTTTGGATATTATTTTCAAATGTAAGTTTTTATTTTTTTATTTATAATTATAATCATAATTACTTTCTGTAATGAAAGAGAAATTAATTTTTTGTATCCAAGGCACGCGCAAAATTACAATTGACGAATAGTAATTAGTTATTTGGATTATCGGTGTAAAGATACCGGTTTTTTTTTTTTTTAGTGATGAACTAATGGTCATATTTATGCAAACGTGCTTTGTGAAATTTTGTACGTGAGAAAAATTATTTTTTTTTTAATATTTTATTGCAAAATTTATTGCTGATATATTTTTTGTAAATTTTAAGCAAGTGCAATTTTAAAAATTTTTAATTTTTAATTAAAAAAAAAAATTTTTTTAGATAATTCAATTGAGTCTAAAATTTTATTAAAAAAAAATTTTACAATTTTTTAATTATCAAAAATTGAAAAAAATAATGATAAAATATTTAATTAAAAATTTTAATACAAAAATTAAATCTCTTATTAAAAAAAATTTATTTTTTATATTTTATGGCCAAAAATTAAAAAAAGCTCACTTAAAAAAAATTCGTTCATAATCTTGTGACATAAGAAAAGTATCCGTCCATAAATCAATCATTAAAACTTTTGATTGAGCAATAAAATTTAATAGCTAAATTTATTAACAATATTTACTAGTATTTATGCCGAAGACATGTCTTGGTGGGTAAAAATAATTTATATACCGCGATAAAACTGAAAGGTCAGTCAATCAACATAAGTCTACCACGTAAAGTAATTATCGATACACTTTTGACCTTTAATTGGATACAAAATTACGATGTGATGCATAATATTGGTGATTGTAATAAATATTAAAACTGGTTTCATAATTCCCAATTGCAATTGGGAATTTCCGCTTTTTAATTAATAATATTTCAGATTTTATATAACTAACTTGAGCCGAAAAATCCATCTTCAAGAACGACAGCAACGTTATGACCAATTTTAATGGTAAGTATTCGATAAATCCTTTCTTCATTTGTAAGTTCCAAATTCCGCCTTTAGATAGCGCGCGTTCGATAATTGTTAAGGAAGGGAGATTCCTTCAGACGGCTCAAAATTGCCGTGAAAATTACAGCAATTTCTGGTTTAATTACAAGATTTTCAATAATTATTAACAACAATGTAAAAAATATAAGTACTATTCATTTTTAGGATAGCATTAAGCTCAAGAATAATAAAAATGAAAAATTAAGATTAATAATTATTTTTAATTTAATCTGTAAGAATAATTTTTTATTTATTTTAAAAGTCCAGTAAATTTTACTTAAAAACTTACAAAATGTTATTTAAAATTCTACTATTATTAAATTTTTATAGAATTGAATTCCTTAAAGACGTTTATAGACAAGAAAAAAAAAACACCAACAGGTTATGGGTATTGATTTCTTTTTGGAGCATTAGTGCTGCCTCTCTTTATAGACTATCGCTAACTTATTTTCATCCACGTAAAATACAGAAAGTCACTTCAAACATTTTTTTATAAAAGAAATAATACCGCTCGTTTATAGTATTTTTGATAAAAAATACTTGTTATATATTCAATTAATAATTTTCGGTTTTTTAAAACAATCCTAAGAAAAGTCCGATTGATATTTAATTGTGGTCCTTCATAATTTCTCAACCAATAATGTCTTAGCAAATATATCTCAGGACAAAAAGTTCTTTAGCCAAAAACATCTTCACCAAAAAGGCTTCACTAAAAACTAATTTTCTGGGATGTTTCTGCACTGTTAAAAATTTCTATTGTAATTTTACAAGAAATGTATTGGAAGCTAATAGGCAAAACATTTATTTAAAATTACAATCGGGAGATATAGTAAAATTACAAAACATATATAGCTCAGTGAGGTTACTAATTTTACAAAACTGTTTTGTAATTTTACAAATATTTTTAGATTAGCTACGTTTGTAAAATTACAATACTTTCCTTGAATTTTACTTGAATTGAAATAATAAAAAAGAAAGATTTGATTTAATATCTGTTGTCATTTTATTGTTACGAAGCGCTAACTAGATTTGGTATCTCACGTAGACCTAATTTGTTCAACTCAGATGATTTAAAGTGAAAATAATATATACCCTAACTAAGAACCGAACCCGAGCCGCTTGCTTGCCAGACCGATACCTAACGCCCTACGCCGTACGACCGATAGGTTATTCAACATTTTAGTATTCTTATAAGCTAATCCTATGTGGTGATTGAGCATTACGGATTATTATTTATAATTTACATTAATTGTGTTATTTTATGCTGTTTATTGATAGAAAAGTCTAACATATACTCATTCAAATATATTGATTTCGAAATGATCGTTTGAGCATAATATTAAAATTTATAAAAGATAAATTATGCCTCGAATTTATTATTACAAATAAACAACCATAGACTAAAAATTAGTAAAAATAAATATGAAGGACATTGTTGTTTTTTTATACATCAGTCTCATTTTTGTAAAACTGAAAAGTATTATTTTTAAAATTAGAAAACAGTCAAGTAGAATTACAATTCGCGTAATATAAATAAAATTTTCTGGTAACATTACATTGCACTGTGTAATTTTACAATGAAAATTGTAAAAATAAAAAAAAAGCTTTTTAAATTTTTTATGTGATTATTGTAATATAAATTACAATATTTTTTTATGATTTTACATACAATTATGCCGAATCAGATTACAAATAATGTTTGCAAAATTAAAAAGCTTTTTCTTGAAAATTGACCAACAGTTCTGTAATATTACAATGCGTGTTAGGTTTATGCAAGAAGATTGTAAAATTACAATACATCTTAGTAGATTTCCTGACAGGTGATGGAAAATTACATGAGTTGTATTTTATTTCGCATTGCTATACACTGATTTGTAATGTTACATATCATTTGTTTTGTAATATGATTGTAATTTTACAAAAATTTTTAACCGTGTGGGCAATTAAGGACAATCTGAGAAAAAACCGTTTTTTTTTTTTGAAATTTTGAGGACTTACACTCATAAATATTGTCTATACGCAGGAGTTTTTTTTAGATAGTCCTTGCGGCACTAAATTTTGAAATATTAACATTTAAAATTTCTATGTTTTACATGCAAACCCTATGCTGACTGACGTTTAAGCTAATGTTTTATTAAATATGGTCAAAAAAATTAAAAAAAAAAAAACGATTTTTTCTCAGAACATCCTTAATTGTCCATTAAAATCAATCTATTGACTTAACTCGACCGTGATACAGTTATTTAATGTCATTTTCTTGATAACTTGTCTGTTTGGATTAATCCATCACTATGTACTGAAGATACCCAATACCTTCGGATTACTTTCGTTCAGATTAATTCGCATTAATCATTAAAGTTACTTGAGACTAATCATCTCGTATCAATTATGTCAAGGTCATCGTCATCTGGCACTCAGTCAAGGGTCGGAACCATATCAATTTGTTTGTTTACTATACCACTAGCCATCAATCGCGATAAATACAACTAAATGTATACAACCTGTTAACTTCATTAGTTTCCAAATATTCTAGCCCGATAGCTACCATTGATATCATTATCAACATAGAATTGTCGATTAAACCTAGCCACACACTTCAGGGCCTAATCCCCTTATATTAATATTGCTTCAAAGTAGTTTCATCAGAGATAACCGAAATTGTACTTAAAATAAGTAGACTTCTCCTCCAATCAAAAAAAAACACCGCGAGCTAAGTTATGATTTGGTAATAAAGATAACGTTATACTACGCATTTAGTTACTTGGTTTGGTAACTTAAAAACATCAACGTAACCGTGTTAATATTCCAGTTTTATGCGGTTGTTATTATCAACGTACATAAACATAAGATATTGCATCAATTTACACTTGATTAATTTTTAGTATTTTTTTTCTTATCAATTTTCTTTTAATTTTAGTGTAAAAAGTCAATTTTGTTCTTTAAAAATATATAAAATAATAATTTTTTATATTGAAGTTAATTTTAATAATTAATAATTGCATTAAAAATTTATTGGAAGAAAAAAAAATGGGGATTGAAACCCAAGCCAGGAATCGAACCCGTTTCCGTCCGAATATAAGTTAGAAGCTCCTCTATCGATGCTAATATAATTTTTTTTGATTAAAAATAACCTTCAAGCTGAACAAAACGATAAATTCTATTTTTTAAAAGCTTTTTAATATTTTTTTCGGCTCAATTTTTAGAAGTTAATTCATCGTAAAAATTACTCAAAAACTCAATTTTTTTCTTTAAAAGTAGATAAAATAATTTTTCATTTTTAAGTTAATTTTAATGATTAATAATTTATTAAAAAAAAAAAATGGGGATTAAAACCCACGCCAAGAATCGAACCCGGTTCCTTCTGAATATAAGTTAGAACCTCTTCCATCAATGCTAATGTAATTTTTTCGACTGAAAGTAACCTTCAAGCTAAACACAACTATAAATCCTATTTTTTAAAGGCTTTTTAACCTTTTTTACAGCTTATTTTTTTTATATTTTCTTTTAAATTATTAGGGCTCAAAAATGATAAGCAACCAAATGTGGAGTGGCAAAAAATACGTACGAAGCATGATACAGAAGAACTTCAAATTCACGGCTTTGAGAAAAGTTACTTCAACATAACCTTGACATATCTATCATATATTTTAACGTTAGGATGGGTGCGATTACTTTTTCACTGGTACCCGCATTTTCACTTGTACGCAACTCACAAAAAGTGTCCGTTGAATCGTGCTACCAAGCTTTTGATAATCGTAAGTCACTAAAAGAACAATTATTAAAATTAAAAATAAAATTAACTAACTTATTTAATTATCAGGATGACTATCAGGGAAAATACAAGTCTTACTTCGTGAAAGATGTAAAAATAATAGGAACAAAAAATCTTCGGTAAGAATAAATTACAATTTATAGTTATAATCAATCTGATTAATATTAATTGATGATTAATCGAAATCAGATCAAGCAGACACTTGAAGCTACTAGGCGAGATCGACGGAAATTTACTGAGCAGTATTGAAGGTAAAAGTCTGGGGATTAACCTAGACAACGGCACTAAGCGGGAAGTCCCAGAATACCGGGCTTTCTGGTTTAAGAAGCAGTGCTACATTTGGGACGAGGCCCGGGACGAGTTTGCTGGGTTGATCGGCTTGGACAAGTATGTCTCCTGTCCGGAGCTCCATCTGGGGCACAATAAAGGTCTTTCGCACGAGGAACAACTCTTGAGGTAAGAAAGACATTTTTTATCATGTTAGAATTGAAGATTTAAGGCTAACAAATTTATTTGCTCAGGCGGATCGTCTACGGGAACAATGAAATTATAGTACCGGTCCAAAGCATCCTTGTGCTGTTTTTGTTGGAGTTCTTAAATCCGTTCTACATTTTCCAAGTTTTTACGATATGTGTTTGGCTGGCAGATGCTTATTATTATTACACCGGTGCTATTGTTCTTATGTCGGCATTCAGTATTACCAGTACTATTATTCAAACTCGGCGGGTATGTTTGATTTTTGATTAATTATATTCATTTTTATTTACTAATCTTGACAGCTGACTAATTCATCAAAAACTAGAATTTAATTCATTTTAGTTTAGAAAAAAAATTTTTACTTATATACTCTGGTTAGATTTTTCTACTAGCGAGAAGGCGTAGCCACCTATCGGCGAAACCAAAAACTAATTTATTAAAAAAATTAATGACCAATTTTTTGTCATTTAGAAAAAGTTAAGAAATATTTCAGATTTAAAACAAGGTTCTATTTAAAATAATTTTGTTTTATTAATATACTTCTGCTGAATAATAAAATAATTAATTGTCTAAATTAATATAAATTCAATTGCGATTAAAAAAGAAATATAACGCGCTAATTACTATAATAATGTATATTATTTGAAAAAAAAATTTTCTACTTATATACTCTGGTTAGATTTATCTACTAGCGAGAAGGGGTAGCCACCTATCGGCGAAACCAAGAACTAACTTATAAAAAAAATTACTTATCGATTGCTGTCAATGTTTTTGACTCAAAATAAGACTTTTTTATACTAAAGCAATGACTTAATACTTAGTAATTATAACCAAAAAATAAAATTGTTCTTAGAACCAAAAGAACCTGCGTAGTACAGTGGCATCTATGGATACAGTTCGCGTAAGAAGGAACAATGGTGACTTTGAAACCGTATCTAGTTCCGAATTAGTTCCTGGAGATGTTATAGAACTGCCAAGGCACCAAGGAATTGTGGTTTGCGATGCCGTTCTACTTACCGGGCACTGTATAGTAAACGAATCGATGCTTACAGGTACTTATCACTTATTACTAATTAAAAATCACATTTCCACCATTTATAATTTGTTCTTTCAAAAGGAGAGTCGGTTCCTGTAACTAAAACACCTTTAACACCCCGACCGGTGCTTTACGACGCTAGAGAATGTTCTCAACACACACTGTACAGTGGAACAATGATAATACAAACTAGGTAATACAATAATTAGTATTAGAACTATTGAAAATACTTTTTTCGTTAAAAACAGCGCAGACTTTTGATTAGTTACTTAAATAATTAATTATCTCGTAGATATTATGGTGAAGGTCCAGTATTAGCACGAGTAATAAGAACGGGCTTACAAACAAACCGTGGCGCTTTAGTAGCAGCCATTTTGTATCCACCGCCAGCTGACTTTAAATTTGACCAAGATTCTTACAAATTTATTGGGATACTTGCACTTATTGCACTTATGGGATTAGTTTACACTGTTATTACCAAGGTATTAATTAGATACTGCAACTGATTAATGAATGAATGAATGAATTAATTAATTAATTAATCAATTTTTTAAGGTATCCCGTGGAATAACTGTTAGTGAAATTATAATTGATGCATTGGATATAATAACAATAGTAATTTCTCCAGCATTACCAGCAGCAATGACAGTTGGAAAATTATATGCTCAAACTCGGTTAAAAAAAGCACAAATTTACTGCATTAACAGCCGTGTTATCAATGTTTCTGGCAGTATTAACTGCATTTGTTTTGATAAGGTACTTAGAGAATTAATTTTATCAAAAAAAAAAAACTCTTGAATTAAATCTCAAAAAATTTGGTTTTTACGAACAGCTCGGGATTCGAACCCAAGCCCGTCCGGTCAGTTGGTCGAGTGCTCTATAAACCTTTGACTAAGCTAAAATCACCGTTTTTTTGGTTCAAGAGTTTTTTGCCTTGAATTATAGATCATTTTTGACTAGTTTACTTAAATAGTTTGATTAGATTATGTTTTGTATCATAAATGATGATTTTAATGTTCAGACTGGAACACTAACAGAAGATGGTCTTGATATGTGGGGTGCAGTTCCAAGTAACAATGGAACGTTGTTAAATCCGGAAAAAGACATCAGAAAACTTAGCGAGCATCCAATTTTTCAAGGAATGTTAGTCAGCCATAGTTTAACGCTCATTGACAATGAACTCTGTGGAGATCCGTTGGATGTAAAGGTATGGAATATTCTATCAAGTTAATTTTTTCCAAAGTTCCAATCAACCTAACCTAAGTAATAAATCTGATATCAATTTGTTGTAATTCACGAAAAATTTAAATAGCGCGCTACGCGCGCGCCTAAATTTTAACCAATAATGAATCGTGGCCCGTTTTTTGCGAGTTTCGACCTTTGACTAACTTCAAGACTTTCATGTATTTTAATTTAGAGGATAACTAGGAAGTTGACGTTTTTTCTTTGTTCAAATTTGAGGTTGAACATATGAATGCTCATTTAAACAACTGCCTGATTCAGAAAGATGATTTGAAATGATTACCTACCTAGTATTCAATTCCGATGCTATTAAATCATTTCAAATTAAATTTTTTAATCAGGGTTGCAAAATTCTTGGTCCTATTTATCACAAATTTGAGATTAAATACATTAGAAATAGACTTTCTTTGTGGCTATAAGATTGATAGCAGAATTCTTGGTTCACCTTACTTTCCTGCTCTCCTGTTAGCATTTTTTAACATTTCAGGGGAACAAGAAGTGGTAATTCATAGTAAATTTGCTACTTGCTACTTGATATCAATTTGTTGTAAATTATCAAAAATTTGAGATTAAATCCATTAGAAATAGGCTTTTTTAGACTAATCCTTTTGCAGATGTTCGAAAGCACTGGCTGGGTATTAGAAGAGCCCGAAATATCAGACACTAGCAAATACGACCTCTTGGTGCCAACCGTCGTAAAACCATCAGCAGAAAACTTGAACACTATCTCTGAAATTGGAATTGTGCAGCAGTACCAATTTTCCAGCTCGCTTCAAAGAATGTCTGTGATTTCCCGTGTTCTGGGTTGCGACCACTTCGAATCTTACACCAAAGGCTCCCCAGAAGTGATCCTGAGTCTCAGTAGACCGGAGACTATTCCTCAGAATATAATGACAGTAATGCAAGAATACACTGAACAAGGTTACCGGGTGATAGCCATCGGCAGGAACAAGATAACCCGGAGCTACACGAAGATCCACAAGATGCCGCGAGAGCAAGTTGAAAAAGACTTGGAGTTCCTGGGGTTGGTAGTCCTGGAGAACAGGCTGAAGGAACCGACTGTTAAAGTCATCGAAGAGTTAAGGGAGGCCAATATCAATGTGCTGATGATTACTGGGGACAATATTCAGACTGCTGTTAGTGTCGCGAGAGAGTGCAAGATTTTGGGCAGGGATGAGACGGTCATCGGAGTCACGATTGTTCCCTCGCCTAATGATGAAAAGGAGCGACCTAGGATTTATTACAACATCCAGGGGAAACCGGTTAAGAGTATCGGTAATAAAATATCACTGGATATCATCGAACGCGGGATAGATGTTATTAATTATCGGTTTGCGTTGACTGGACAAACATGGCAGCTTCTAAGAGAACATTATCCGGAACTGGTTCCTAAGATTTGCGTTCGTGGCGCTGTATTCGCTCGGATGACTAGTGATCAGAAGCAGCAGTTGGTTGTTGAACTTATGCAATTGGGGTACTATGTTGGTAAGTTTGATTTCTTTCTTATTGATTTTTTAAAATTGTAGATATAAGTTGGAACAATTCCAAATTATTTTAATTAGTTTGTAAAAAATTTAACTATTCAAGTAGAATTTTTATAGAATTTATGAGTTAGTATATTTATACTAATTGAATTCATAAATTTTTGGGAATATAAAAATATTTATACAATAATTTGAAAATAAAGTGGGTAAAAAAAAGGTACTTTTACCTTATAGATATACACTTTGTATGGATTGAATCACTTCAAATTAGATTTCTTAATCAAAACCCCGTTATGAGGTGTGCAATTTTGAAATAACGATATTTGAATTCTTTTTAATACTTTTAAGTATTTAAAATTTTTTCAAGTTCTTTCTTTTTAAACTAAGGTAGCTTAAGAGAATATAAGAACTAATTTTTATCAATAATTGATAATTAGAATTTTTATAAACAATTATAAACTAAAAATTGGTTTGTCAACCCGTCATTTTGTTAAAAATAGATACTTTCGTAATTTTTTCTTAAAAAACAAACAAAAGCTTCTTAATTATAATAATGTAATAAAAAATTCAAAAACTTACTTTGTTTCAGCAATGTGTGGTGATGGTGCCAACGACTGTGGCGCTCTCCGTGCAGCTCATGCGGGAATTTCTTTATCTGAAGCCGAATCTAGGTAAGTTTCTTCAAGTGTGCAACCATAACGCGCATCAGAGACAAAATGCCATATAGTGGGGATAAGAACAAAGCGCTAGTTTCATACTACTTCATTAATAATCCCTCTATATTAAACCTCCCTTTAAGTTTGACCAAATTCTCTCTCCATATTTGATAATCCTATCTCCCATTAGAGTTTTTGTCCGACTAATAAAAAAAAACCACAATGGCGGGCATATTTAAATATTAGTAGAATCAATTCAAAGTATATTTTAAATATATTTAATATTTCAACTTACCTTACAATTCTCTACATTAATTGCCATTTTTTAATATTATATTAAATTAATATAATAATCTATGTGAGTTTTAAGGTTATGTCGAGATGGTTGTTTACATACTGTTTTAGTACATTAAGCAGTTGTTCGCGCACTGCGCCCCGATGAAAAAAAAAGTATTGATTTTCAGTCAATCTAATACTTTTTTTCATTCAGAGAGGCCTGCGCATAAGAGATGTAAGTGTTGCAATAATTTAAACATCAGGATTAGTCAAATATAGGGGGATTTGACTGTAACAGCGTCACCTAGAATCATATTTTGCATTTTTTCATGCTTAACGTATCCACAATAAACACTTATTTTTGATTAGTACAAGTGCTAATCATCATATGTTAGCCCTTGACTCCCTGGGCTGCCCTACTGGGTATATATGACTCGCTATATTAACATAGTTGCAAAATGGCGTTAATTTATGTCTATAATTACTCAAATTTTTTTTTTACAAATTTGTTTTTTATGTTTACCTACTCAATTAGTTATGAAGCAATTGATGCAATCAAAATTTATTTGTTAACTCTTTTTGTTATTTTGTCATTACAAAAATAATTACTTTGTAAAGATTATTAACCCTGTTCATGGCTACGGCTGTTGGATTTAGTTGTTTGTTAGTAAATAAATAAATAAATATGTTTCAGCGTGGCAAGTCCATTCACTTCCCGAATCCCCGACATAACCTGCGTGCCAAAAGTGATCCGTCAAGGCCGAGCAGCACTAGTGACATCTTTCGGAATCTTCAAATTCATGGTGACCTACTCCCTAACAGAGTTCATATCAGCATTTGTCTTGTACTCAATCGACTCAAACCTCTCAGATTTCGAATTCTTATTCATCGACGTGGTCCTGATCGTAAACTTCGCGTTCTTCTTCGGAAGGACCCACGCCTACGAGGGCAAGCTTGCGAAGAAGCCACCGATGACATCTTTACTGAGCTTCACGCCTCTGTTCTCCCTGACGCTCCACATGATCACCATGCTGCTGTTCCAGGTGGGAGTCTTCTTCTGGGTGAAGCAGTTCGACTGGTACAAGCCCCCGGCTTTCAAGAACCTCCACGACTTCTACTCCTACGAGAACTACTCGGTCTTCTCGATGTCCATGTTCCAGTACATAACAGTGGCGTTGATATTCTCCCACGGAAAGCCGTACCGACGCGCCGTCTACACGAACAACCTCTTCATCGCCTCCATTGTGATCTCCACCATGGTCTGCGTCTATATCGCCTTTTTTCCGGCTTACTGGACGATCAGACTTCTGGAGCTGAAGATGCCGCCGACTCTGGAGTGGCCTTGCATTATACTCATCCTCTCCGTTATCAACTTCCTGATCTGCTTCTTCATCGAGGCGGTGATCATTGAACTCCTCATTGAACGCTTCGTCAAGCCGAGGGTCTATAAGCCCGAAAAGTCCAAGAAAGTTTACTTGAACATCCAGTGCGAGCTTAATAACAACCCAGAATGGCCGACTGTTAATTCTGAGCTCCCTGTTATGCCTCTCACGCCCTCTGATGATAAGGTCAAGGTCACGGAACAAACCGCTGAGCCCTCTTCCGGTGGCGTCGATAACTCGGCGTTTGAAAATGAAGACACTAGTGAAACTACGAAATTTTGATACTATTTGTAATATATTTTTTTGTTTTTATTATTATATGTAATTATGAAATAGTTTTTCATTGTTATTGTGGAAATGTGATTGTAACAGTTTGTAAGATTTAGGAATATTTGTATACGAAATATATGTTGATTTTTAAATTTTTTGGTTATGAGTTTGATTTTTTATTTATTTTATCCCATAATAAAATTGAGATGAAATGTATGTGGCATCAAACTATTCGTAACGTGATTGGTTGAATATATCACAAGCATGAAAATATATGCAAACTCTATAGTCAAGGCGCGCGCTTGCGCGCGTAAATTCAAATTCTAGTTCAATAAAATATAATAAGAAAATTTTAGAGATAAATATTTTTTGTTTTAAATAAAATAAAAATTATTTATTCAAATTTTTGCTAGACCCTGACTTTAGAGGTTATCTATTTTATTCCAAATTTTTACTTCGGAATTTATTTTTAATAATTAAAAAATAATAAATGTGTGCCATTAAATTACGAAAATTAATTTAGCAGATATTTGATAATTATAAGAATTTTTTTAACAAATTATGTTAAAAAAAAAGTAGAATAAAAAATTAACATGTAGAAATTTTAAAAAATAAAAAATGCATTTTTTTAAAATAATTTTTTGAAAAAAATCTATTTGTTAAAAAAAAAAATAGGAAAAATGGTTAAGTGACTGTTAACTTTCATGTCATAATAATTTTTTGTCACTAAAAAAAAATTAATATTCTTAATTATAACTTAAATGCTTCTTTAAATATAAAATTAATAATATTTATAAAAAAAAAAAATAATAATTAGGAAATTGTACTTAAATTATAAGAACAAAATTTATTTAATTTTCTAAATCGTTATTTAAATATTATACTAGAATTTAATTTACGCGCGCAAGCGCGCGCCTCATAATTATCGTCATGATATATTTATGTGTCGTTTATGTATATTATATTTACTTTCAACCAATCAGAATGAGAATATTTATTTTCGACCAATCACATCACGAAAAACAGTAATTAAATCTTCGGCTTTCTTCGGTGACAGCTAAGACCCGAACATCCCCGAAGTTTTTATTATAAGCTCCAACAGAGTAAAGAGTATATTTATTTTTATTATTTTTATTTACACATCAGCAGAGTAAGTGTGAGCTACAACGTGGATGTAACCTAAAAGCCAAAACAATAACTAAATTAGTTTTATTAACAGCTACAGTTTTTTATTAAATAAATTTATTAATGGATGATTCTTCAGTTTCTTTGGATTTATTCCAAGTACGTAAAATTAATATTTAATTTCTGTAATTATTTAACTTGTCATAAAATTAAAATTAACAACTGTTAGAAATTTTATATTTAAAAAAAAATGTTTTTTAGAATTTGCTCTTACTTTTTTAATTTTACAAGTGAAATTTTTTAACTAAATTATGTAGTGAAAAAAAAATTGTTTTTTAGAATCCAAAAAACGAATCATTGGAAAAAGTAGAGCTGATAATAAACGTCAATGGAATTCCAAAAATTATTCCAGCTTTGGTAAGTTATTTAAATAATTATTAATTATTTAAATTAACATATTGAATAATTTTTTAGTCAAAACACTGGGTCGTCAAGAAATATTTTCTAATCTATGAAATTCCAAACATTTATGACGATAATGGCAAGCAAGTACTTGGAGCTAAGTCAACCTGGCTGGAGATTATTAATTACATGATCAATGATTACAGTTGGCTTCTACGATTACCTTATTACAAGTATGTATTTAATAAAACTCCCCTGGTTAAAAATATTAATTGAAAAGAATTGAGAAGCGATTACTCCATGCAAACTGTATGTCTACACTGCCGATAGAAAGTTTCCGGACAAGATGAAAATTTATTAAAAGTAAAATAAATCAAAAGAAAAGTCAAAGACACCATCTTACACACTTTTTAAAATAACACAGCATTTTCGTTATAGATCAAATTAATGTGTTTATGTATCATATTTCACTTAAAAAAGTAACCCTGATTCAAAAAGATAATTGAAAATTATTACCTTCATGTTAATTGTCTATCTATATGGTATTCAAATCAGATGCTTTTAAATTATTTCAAATTAGATTTCTTATATATCATTTATATAATCTAGTCAACAAGTTTAAAAAATTAATTTAGCTTGCTACGATATGTAAAAAGTTGAATTATCGCAAGAACCCAGACAACATCCAAGTCAGAAGGATTTCTTAAAGATGTCTTTTCAAAGACTTCCTTGAGAACTCCAAATATGACGTCTTAAAGACCTTATTTTTCGGAACTCTTAATTAAGAAGTCTTTAAGAAGTTTTTTTTTAACTTCTATAAGACATCACAGTAAGAGGTCAAAAAAATGAGCTGTTTAAGAGGTCTTTTTTTATACTTTCCAAGACATCAGAAATATGAGCTCTTTAAAAGTTCTTTTTTTCTGACTTCGTAAGACATCAAGAATAGGAGCTCTTGAATAGGTTTTTTTTTTTTTTCTGATTTTGTACTTCGTCAAAATATGGGACTTAGAAAAATTTTTTTCACGTTATTAAAGAATTTTTAAAATGATAAAAAAATAAAAATAATCGCATTCGAGTGAACTCATTTCGCTGTGTATTTATTTTTGTATTATAAAAATATTATCGTAAATAGCAAAACGTTCAGTGATTCTACTTATTAAAAATTAAATCGAAAGGTATTTTTTTTTATTTTTGGGTAGAAAAGTTGATATCAAGTTTTTTATCGTTGCTATAAGTCGTTTATAATCTTATGTGAACATAAGAGCTTATGTATAGAGAAAAAAAATTTACTATCTCATTAGGAGCAGCTAGCCAAGGCAGACCAAAGGACACCACATCACTGAAGTTAAGACGCATTAGTCATGATAAATACTTGAATGGGTGACCGCTAGTAAATTCGTATTCTAAGCTGCGAGCGATACCATTTTTTTTTTTTTTTTTTTTTTTTTTTTGTTTTTTTAATGTACTTGACTGTCTTCAATTTAAGCTCTTTTTTAATATTAATTACAATACAATTAAAACTAAAAATGTCTCCTCTATAAACTATTTTATTCTGGAGTCAGAAAGGGCTCTTAATTCTGACTTCTTGAAGAACTCTTTTTTTGAAGTCAGAAAAAAGAGCTCTTTAAGAACTCTCTCTATGAAGTCCTGATTCACTCTTTAGGTGGCGCATTGGACGTCCTCAAAACGTCTTGGAGACCTCATTTTGATCAAAATTCTGACGTCTAAATCTTAAATAAGAGTTCTTTGAGAACTGTAAAAGACGTCATATTGCTATCTGGGAAATAGTTAAATATTCCCTGATAGCCAAACCGGTCGCAACTTTCCGTTGATTTGCTGCAGCAACTTGTCACCAAGTTAGCGGCAAGTCTTGGAAATGAACTCGGTTGTTCACCAAGTTGTCGGCAGAAATTGCTTTCGAAACTCTTTCACACCAAGTTGACGACAAGTTTCTCGAGAAATTGCGGCGACATATTGCGGCAGTAGATTGGTCTTGTTTTTCTCAGAAACTTGTAGCCAACTTGACGCCAACAGTTTCAAATTCGGAAGTTGTCGGTAAGTTGGTGGCAACTATCTGACACCAATTTGGTTGGTCTGAAACTGTATCTATCAGGGTTTTTTAATAGAATGAAAACTTCTACTCTATAAGATAGTCCCAAACTTTAGCAACAGATGGCCCCAGATTGCTGGTCAAATTCTTGACAAATTCTGACTACAGTCTGGCTCAAGTCTTGGCCAATAATCTTGGTCAAGAATCTGGACCAATTCTTGATCTAAAATCTTTCTAAAGTATTTTGATCCATGCTGGCACAAGGCTTTTACCAAATTGCTACTAGAAATACATATATATTATTCAAATTAGATACTTTTAAATCATTTCAAATTAGATTTTTTAATCAGAAAAACAAGAAGCTTATTCAAAAACTTTCCATCGGCAGTGTATATATACAAACAAAAGAATTGAAATTATTGAAAAGAATTCGAATTTTATTATTTTTAATAAATATTTTCAAACTGGAAAGAAAAAAAAAATTGCAATACATAACTTTCCAGATTCTGGTCCAACATGGTCTTCAACCGACCAATAATAGACTCCCTTTTATCAGTCCTGCAAAACATTCCCCGCTTTTACAACCTTCAGAACTTCCCCAAAGACCCTGACATGCAAAGCACCCTCGAAAAGCTCCGCCAGAAAGTCTTGAACATTTTCGCCCGAATCGTCACCTTGAAAGAGAGTCCAACAGAATTCATGACCCCGGGCTACCACGGATCGTTGATCTACGACAAGTTCCTGATCACAATTCCGACCTTAATGGACCTGGCGCAGCTCTACGGTCGCGAAAACGAGCGAATAGTCAGCCAGATAATAAAGCGGGCCTTTAAGTCTCAAGGACTTTACAACGAGGACCTGAAGATGACTGTTGAATGCACTTGCCAGCTTTTGAGTTCATTAGAAGAGAAGCTTTTTGACCAGCCACTTCTCACAGCTCGGGACGTAATCTGTATCTCGGAGGTTAACGACGAGAAGCTGACTAGTGAAGAGGTTGAAGACATGATTGTCTATTTGACTGACGTCGCCTCGAATATTGCCATTTTCCTCAATGTCTATCCAGACGCTGTTGATTTCTATGCTAGCGATTATTTTATCATGAAGATCGTTGGTGTTTATGAGAACATTATTCCTGCTATTTATCGCAAGCTCAGTGAATTTTCTGAAGTTGACCTTGAGATTGATGAGATTCAGTTGAAACATTATTTGCATATTGCGAGGACTGAGTTTATTACAGTATTTCATAATATTATTTTTAATAATATTAGATTGATGTTGGAAAATCCGTAAGTTTGGACTCAAATTTTGTTTTATCCGATCTTTGCATTTTTTATGATAACATTATTTTCAGAATATTGTTGGAAGAAAACACTGCTAAAGAACGAGCAGATGAGTTTCTTAATTATCTAACAAGTGTTATTTCTGACCGACATTTTATCATGGATTACAATGAATTGTTTCCTATTCAAGATGATTTAGAAATGCTCCATCAACTTACTTCTGATATGTATCCTTACTTTTATAAATATTAATTTCTAATTTTAATGATATTTAATTGAACAATTATTCCTTAAATTAATGACCTTAGTGATGAAGCAAAAGAAACTTTTATAAAACGTTCGATATCTGAGGTTATCTTGAAGACACAGTCTGCACGAGTCAAAAAAAATTCTGTGGTAAGCCATTTTGGTAGCTGATTTGAAAATGGATCTAAAGAGAATATTTTCTAGGTTTCTCAAGATGCAACGCCTGGTCCAAGTAATTATGAAGCTGTTCCTAGTGTGTCTGATAATGGAAGCGTACCAGATCTTAGAAAATGTATTAGAGATGTTAAAGATGTCATGTGTGATCTTGGAGATGGTTTTATACAGGTTAGTAAGGATATTTTATTTTTTTATGATTAAAATTCTTCATCTAAATTCTTTATAATACAGAAATTTATATAAAATTCTAGATATAATCATATTTAGTACAAAATACAAATTTTCTTTCTCAACTGGGCGTGTACTCCTTGTTCTAAAGCAACGCCCCTTAGTAACAGTTGCCTAGAAACGCTCTTAAAAACGCCCCTTAGCAACTGTTACCTAGCAATAGCCTTAAACACGCCCCTTGGTAACCATATCATAGTAATGCCCCTTAGCGATACCATTAAACACGCCCCTTGACAACTGTTATGTAACAACGCCCCCTAATCACACCCCCTTAGCAACGGTAACTTAGCAACGCCCTTTAATAAGATTGTTACCTAGCAATAATCACAGATACGCCCCTAGATAATCATAGCATAGCAACGCTTCTAGTTACGTCCCTTAGCAACACTCTTAGACACGCCCCTTCGCAACTGTTATAAAGCAACGCCCCTTAGCAACTGTAACGTAGAAACGCCCCTTTAGTAACTGTTACCTAGCAACACTCTTAGATACGCCCCTTAACAACTGTTTTATAGCAACTGTTACTTGGCAACACCTTTGGACACGCCTTTTGACAACTGTTTGTCTAGAAACGCCCCTTGGCAACGATAGCTTAGTAACGCCCCTTCGCGACAATTATTTAGCAAAAAAAGCTACTAAAACCCCTATAAATTTGATATTTGAAAGACAAGGAAGTGTTTTTATTCAATTTTCGGTATCTGTGTTTCAGAAATGTCTCGCGCATTACAATTACAACACAGCAGCGGTAATAAACGCAATTTTCGAAGATAACCTACCAAATGAACTAAAAGAGCTAGACCGAAAACTGCCATTTATTCCACCCGATGCCGCAGAAGCTTCGGCTGCAGTCGACAAGGCGGTAGGATTCGAACGATTGAATGTCTTCGACGGTGATGAGTTTGATGTGATGACACAAGACAAAATAGACACGTCTCGCGTTCATCGTGGCAAAAAGTTTGTACCTTTTGAGATTCTTAATGAAGAAGAAATTCAATTAGGGAATTATTTATAATACTGATTTCAGGAAAGATAAATACAAGAATCTGAATGAAATGTTGAACGACAAGTCCTTTAAAAAGGACATTGCTAATATTTACTCAAAGTACGGTGTAATTGAAGACGAATATGATGATGAGTACGATGACACCTATGAGAGCCATGACGTCGGCTTGCGTGGCGCTGATGACTTTATTGAATTAGGCAGCAAACCTTTCACGACACCTAGAGTGAGTTTTATCTTAAGATAAAGATTAAATTGTTTTGTAACCTTTTTTTTTCTAATGTTTCAGGTGCTGAGAGTCAATGAGAAGCAAGAAGAATCCGAAGAAGAGTCTGAAGAAGAAGAACCGCCTTCAAGTTCGTCAAACGGCCGCTGCAACTTCGTCCAAGATCCGAGCGTGCTTCGAGAAAAACGCGAAATGGCGAATCGTATGCGTGTTTTCAAGCGCGGAGGAAAAGTAGGGGGCACTGGTGATGTTGTAGGAAAACCTAAAGGTCAGGGTAATGACAAGGATGTTCTAGTGAACCGTGATAAGAAGAACACCAACAAATCTTCAAGAGCTAACCACAATCGTCGTTCCGGTGCTGAGTGGAAACGTCGTCAAGGAATGGTTCCGTCGTAGATAACTAGGATAAGTTTATTTAAAACCAGTATTTGTTGTGTTTATTAATAAAATTTCAATAAAAATATTTAAACATTCCTTTATTTAGTCTTTTATTACAAATCCTTCCTGCCCTCAAAAAGAATGATTTAAAAGCTCCCTGGTTAAAAATATTGATTGAAAAGAATTGAAAAGTGGTCAAATTACGCAAACTATATAGAAAAACCTCCCGGACAAAATTGTAATTACAATTTAATCCGCTAGAGGGCAGTAGGTCTTAGTTCCGAGGCTAGTTGCTTAGTTATTGGCATCCATTTTCTTTACCCAGTAAAGGTTCCATTACATGTTGCAAATATCTCACAAAATCATCAACGGGTTGCCCTTCTGAATCCGTAAGCGGCCATTTTATGTTCAAAACCGGATCAAGATCCCCAGGAGTTGGATCGCTGCAAAAAAACTAGGTTAGAAAGTTTATCAATCAAGATATTCATAACCTACCCATATTTCGCAAAGTTGGTCCACATTTTGACCATTCTCATCCGCTGGATCCCGATGTCACTCTTGGGATCAAGCGGCTGGTTGAAGTTAGATGCCCAAAAGATGTGCAGAACATCATCTGAATGTCCAGTGCCGTTGATATTGATTCCCATTACTCTATGCAGAGCTTGAGGGTAGTCAAATGAATTCCGATAGAAGTAAACCGGAATTTTAGAAGCTAAAAGCTGCCGAGTTAGGTCTATTCCGTTGTAATAGAGCATGTCGGTTGTGATGTTACACATCTTGTAGATTTCATCATTAGAAAAAGTCTCATTGTTTTTACTAAAAGTTTGCATTTCTTGAAAAAACTTAACCTGTTCGGTATTCTGCAGCTCTGATATATTTTTGACGATTTCAAGGGCGCCGCCGATAATTTCATCCCGTGCAAGTTTATCTGCGAAATCAATATTGTTCACAAAATGGCTGACTAACGAGTTTTGTGATACATACTGTTTCCAATGTAAAACAACGTTTCTAGGCTAGTAAATCCTAACATCACCGACACCTGGTTGAAATTGTTGGTTTTTAGCTTATCGACTGAGCATTGCGTCAAAAATGGCGACTCTGCTTTAGGATCTTCGAGGGTTAGCAACAAATACGGCACAAAGACCTGTTGAGTTATCAGAAATCATAAAAAGCAACTACAAAGTACTTATCAACAGTCGGTAAGGAAGAAAAGTCTTACGTTAGTAGTCTTTGTCATTGCTAGGACAAGTTCTCCTGCAGAAGAACTGTAAAGCTTCTTCAAAAGCACCTCCGGGTCTGTAGTATCGACTCCAAGACTTCTTCCAAAAGCTTAGGCACGATCCACAGCTTCTGAAGGTGGTGTGAATGCCTAGCGATTTAATGGTGACCCACTCATAGCAATGGCGGACCTGAACAGTCCACTAGATGCCTCTGAAAGAACCTGGAACAAGGCACTAGCGCTTCCCGCGCTTTGTCCAAAAACAGTAACCTTCTTCGGATCCCCTCCAAAGCTCTCGATCTCCTTCTGCACCCACTCCAGTGCCATCTTCTGGTCCTTAAGTCCAGCATTTCCCGTGGCGTTAGTGTGTTTCAAAGACAGGAACCCCAGCGCTCCCAAGCGGTAGTTCATCGCAACAACTACTACATCTTCCTCGATCAGAAAATCCGGGCCATAAGTCTTAGGGTTGCTGGAACCACTTACAAAACCTCCTCCGTAGATCCAAACTATCACCGCACGCTTCTTCATGTCCGTTATGCTGACCTTCGGCTACTTCCAACTGCGGGCAGTTATCTTTCTGCTCCAAAGCTTGGTACAATCCTCCCCATGAATTCGCTTCTCTCGGCGGCTGTAAAATTATAAATTAATTATTAATAATTGACTTTTTAAAGTATCTGGGTTGATAAAAACTCAAATCGCCTTAAATCTCAGACTGCCAACAGGCGGCTGCGCAAAGGGGATTCTCAAGAAACTGGAGTACCTCACGCCCTTACCGACTGTCGATAACAACTTTCCCTGGACAAATCCTTTGGTAGTCATCACTGGCATCGTTAAATTCTTAGCAAAGATAGGATATCGATCACCAAGGAAAATCCTCCTGAAGGAATTCTTCAAAGGAACTTGGATTAAATTGTGCAAAAACGGATGTGTTAAACATGGAAATATAAATGATAAATTCAACTAGGAGCTTCATTTTAAACACGTGTTTTTTTAAATAAACAAACTCAACGATTAGATTAGCGCTTTTATAGCCTGGTTTACATCAGACGAACAAAGTACATACTTATGATAAATACCAGTTTTTTGCTATCTTATTTATTGCTGATAATTCGCTAAGTGCGACTTGACAAATATATCTTACGTAAAACATGCTTGACGTCATGTGGCTTCTATCTAAAGTCGAGTTATCGTACAAGTTACGGATACAATAAATTGCTACTGCATTTGCTGATAAATAACCTTAAAGCAGCCATTTTGCACGATAAATCCAATTGGCAAAAATTCTAGAAGCATCCTTCAAATAAACCTAGAACAGGGTTAAGAATTGTTTCCAATCCATCGACTAGTAATCCTACTGGCCGAGGGCCGATAGAGTAGGTTGTGTTGATTTCAAGGCAAGTTCCTGCGACGGTAGATGGCGGCCAAGTGATGTTTAGCAGTGGATCCATTGTTCCATTTGGCGTTGGGTCTCTAAACATAACCTAAGTATTAATAACTGACAACTATTTTTAATAATTGAAATTGATACCTATATTTGGCAAAATTAGACCACATCCTAACCATCCGCTGCCTTTGAGTCGTCAACCGAGTATCATTCAAAGGAAGCTTGAAGTTAGGAAGCGTGGGCCAGAAGATTTGATGGACGTCATCGGCATGCGCAGTGCCATCTAGGTCGTATCCCATGGCTCTGTGCCTAGAATTGCGGTGGTCGAAGGAATTGCGGTAGTAGTAAACAGGGGCGTCGCTAGCAGCGGTTAAGTATCTTTGGGTCCGGTCAACGTCAAAGATCATCAACAAGTCGGAGGTTATGTTACTGACCCCGTAGATGGTGTTGTCTACCAACCCTCCGAGTTTTCTGACTATCCAGTTGGCTAAGCTGGAGATCAGGTTGATGTTCTTAACCTCGCGGAGCAACGGGAGGTCAAATAGGCCGTCGAGGATCATCTTTATCAGTGGTAATTGTGCACCTGTAACTTTTAGGTTATGGAGTGATACAATTTAATAATTTGGATTTGAGTTGATGATGAATACTTACTTTCTGCCACAAATGATAAAAATTCGGAATCAACAAATCCAATTATTTGAGGTACATGGTTGAAATTACCAGATTTGTACTTTTCAAGCGCACAGTCGGTAAAGAAGGGCATTGTTGATATTGTCGGGTTCTCTGTTGTTGGTGTGAATGACAGGACATCTATCTTGAGAGGTAAGAAATTTATTTTAAAAATAATTTTATTTTATAGGAAAATTTTGGTATGACCTGATATTAAATTATCTAGTAAAATATTAACCCTTAATCAAAATAGCATTGAAACAATTCATTATTGATTAACATTATTAATAATTAATAAGATTAATAAACTTTGTGCAATATTTTTAGAATAAAAAAAAAAAAAATTAATAAAATCTGATTGAGGAGTCGAACCTGGTTCTTTCAATTCCGCAGTAAGAGCTATCTAAGTTAAGCTATACTTAATATTTGGAACTTAAAATTTCTCTAGCGAGAAATTTTAGCGATTATACGCCACCTGTTGGAAGTTTTCGGAACTAATTTGAACCAAAAAAATTATATAATGAAATTTCAGACTTTACTGGGTCTAATATGGACAGTAAGGGTGTGCGAATAATTCGAACTTACGAATTATTCGTTTCGAATCGAATAATTTGAATTTTCAAATTATTCGAAATTCAACGAATAATTCGAAAAATTACGAATAATTCGAAAAAATTCGAATTATTCGTCGAATTTCGATTAATTCAAAAACTCCAATTATTCGATTCGAATTTCAAATCGAATATCAATACTCGATTGGAACGATATTCGCACACCCGTATTTGAAATTGTCGATAAGTTCATTAATAATCATTGTTATGTACCAATTGAATCGTTTTCACATTCTCTACAAGGATTCTAGGCCAAACAGTTGATTAGATTAGTAACTTGGAAAAAATTTAGTCTTCATTTTTACATGTCCGCGTGGCTATTGTTATCAAAAGTTATCAAAAGTTAACTAGAGTAAGGTTTAAAATTTTCGATAAGTTCATTTTTAAACATTATTATGCATCAATCGAATCGTTTTCACACTCTCTACAAGGATTCTAGGCCAAACAGTTGAGTAGATTAGTAACTTGGAAAAAATTTAATCTTCATTTTTACATGTCCGCGTGGCTATAGCTATCAAGAGTTATCAAGAGTTATCAAAAGTTAACTAAATTAGGGTTTAAAATTTTCGATAAGTTAGTAAGCTGATCATTTGTTTGGTTTAAGATGCTTGTAGAGGATGTAAGATCGATTCGATTAGTATATAACAATGATTAGAAATGAAACGATCGAAAATTTTAAACCTTACTCTAGTGTAACGGAGTACACGGGGCGTTCTTTACCCCGAGAAGGTTTCCGATCCGTGAATTAGTTATCGACTGATTCCCCAGAGCGCTGTGCTCCGAAGTACTCGCGCCTCTAGTTGTAAGTTAGTGAGTAAGTCCCCAAGAGGGAAGCGCCGGCGCGGAGAGTGAGTGGGGAAGACGGAGCGAAGAAAGAAACGCACCGACAAAGCTGAGAAAAGTCATTGTGACCGAGTCGCCAAACCGCGTGGACACACAAATTAAGTAAAAACACCATCAAACAGGTAATTATTTATTTGTCGCCTTTCGTACAGTGGAACGAAGCGATCAAACTTATTCATTTATTGCTTGCCAGGCCTTTAGTCGGCTTGCGTAAATTAATCTTAAATTCTAACAATTTCTAATGCTTGATTGCGGTTTCAGACTCATAAAATATTTGGAGAAACGAGTGACGGTGACCGAGGTCTCGCGGCCAAGCAGAGTTTTTCCACTGAGGAGGAATTTGTACCAGAACAGACGTGAAGGAGTTGCTGCTCTTCGAGGGAGCTCGCCAGCGCCTCAAAGAGAAAAGCCCCAGGTATAAATAAAATGTCTCAATAATCCCTCGGTGGTGCGGCATCAGCCAGGCATTGAAGTCGGCTAAAGGTCACCGCCACTTCGCGTTCGGTCACAATCATTAGTTTAAGTATTGTGTCGTAGAATTTACTTAATTATTATATGGAAATTTATTTATTAGAAATTACTCGGAATATTATTTGGGATATTATGTAAGATATTATTTAGAAAAGATTGAGAATTTGTTGGAAATAAGAGGCAGAGTTTATTTAAGAATTTATTTGAGAGAAAAGTCCAGAATAAAAATTAGACTAAAATTAAAAGCAAGTCAAGAATAATTACTAAATAATTAATTAACAAAACCAGGAATAATTTCGGTTGGTCAATTTATAACTTTGGTGCCATGTAAAATTAATTGTCGTCAATAATCGAGTTTGGAAATTTATTTAATTAATTGCTTAAAGTAAATTCATTAAAATATTTCAGAGGAATTTTAGTAAAATCATTTGAAGTAAAATTTATTAAATTCGGAAAAATAATTTATAACAAAAATTTAATTGTGTAAATAAAATCATTCGCAATAAATTTCGAATCAGTCAAAATTGCAAGAAAATTGTTCATGTAAATTTATTAATTGAAAGTAGAAAACGAAACTTGTAAAAATCTGTTTGGAAAAAAAATTACCAAAAATGTGCGACAAAGACGCCAGACCGAGCGAGAGCGTCAGCCATCTTGTCCCGCGCGAAGCGCTGAGTAGAGGACATTCAAAGTCGAGACTAAAATCGTACTGTGTTGCTAGGCAGAATATAATCCTCAAACAAAATAAAATAAATGCTAAGTTTTTCATGCAACACAATAGAACGTAAAATAAAATAACGTAGAGAAAATAAAACTCGATTATTGAAGGACAAGCCAAACAGTTTAGTAAAAATAAATTACATGAAATGAATTGATAAAATTTTAGTCATTGAAAGTTAAAATCTTAATTAAATAAATTAAAATAATCTGGAGAAATAAACTGATAAATTCTGGTAGAATAAATTAGACGAATTAAAATAATTTAACACAACAACTTATAAATTAAATTAAGTAAATTCAGTACATTAAAATTGTAACTCTCGGAAGTAACCAACACATTGTTGGCAGATTATTAAGACCTCTGTCAATAGATTTTAACCTATTAATACAAGATACGAAGACCTCTTGATATTAAATATTTAATTGTTGTATTATTAAGACCACGACATTAAATTAGTTAGTGATTTTAATTTAAAATTAAGATTAGGAATTTTAGAAATAAATTAGGAACTCGGGTTTTGTAAATTGTTGAAGGGATAAATGGATCCAGGCATCGAGTCGGATTTCATTTGATTTTGGAAAATAAATTTGTAAAATCCGGAGTGATAATTAGTGGGTTTGGAAATAATAATGTGGGTGGGTTTGATATTAAGTATTGTAGTGTTGCCTAGGGATTCATGGTATCCTCCTCTGCTTCCTGGGCACACTTAGAGTCCTTTGAATAGACGCCCGGGTCGGGGGTGCAATAGGCATAAGCATTTTAAATAAATATTGTGAGTTTGTTTGGAAAATGGTAAATAATATTGCAGTGTAGCCTAGGGATTCATAGTATCCTCCTCTGCTTCCTGGGCACACTTAGAGTCCTTTGAATAGACGCCCGGGTCGGGGGTGCAATAGGCATAAGCATTTTAAATAAATATTGTGAGTTTGTTTGGAAAATGGTAAATAATATTGCAGTGTAGCCTAGGGATTCATAGTATCCTCCTCTGCTTCCTGGGCACACTTAGAGTCCTTTGAATAGACGCCCGGGTCGGGGGTGCAATAGGCATAAGCATTTTAAATAAATATTGTGAGTTTGTTTGGAAAATGGTAAATAATATTGCAGTGTAGCCTAGGGATTCATAGTATCCTCCTCTGCTTCCTGGGCACACTTAGAGTCCTTTGCATAGACGCCCGGGTCGGGGGTGCAATAGGCATAAGCATTTTAAATAAATATTGTGAGTTTGTTTGGAAAATGGTAAATAATATTGCAGTGTAGCCTAGGGATTCATAGTATCCTCCTCTGCTTCCTGGGCACGCTTAGAAGCCGTTGTATAGACGCCGGATTTGGGGTACAACGGTAGTAAGCTAGAAACCGCGATAGGACGCTCCATAAGAGGATATCGTCGGGAGTAAGTGATTTGATATTTTGTAAGGGGATTTTATTGTGTATTAAGGGTTGGTTAAATAAAATGAGTTGTAAAAATGAATTTCTGATTATAATTTCTGTATCCTTCCTGACAATCTCTCCGACCCTGAGTTTTCACTCCTTGTTCTGGGCCAGTTTCTGGATACTGCGGGAAAAATCCAGTGGCGCCTTAAATAAATTAAGAAGCGACCAAGAGAGCGGTGAATACCCGTTACAAAATATAGTAGTGATTTATTTTGTTATATTTGTGGTATTTATATATTAAAAAAACAAAAACAAAATATCACAGACTTTGTTAAGGAGACTTATGCTGAATATTTCGGTTTTAAAATGGACA